TCTGGATTCTGGACGCTTCAGACGCTCCATGGATGCTTCAGACGCTCGAAAACCTCGCACTTGCTCTGTGGTCTCTGGGCTCTGCGAGAATCAGACGCTCCAAACCCCCCGAACTGGCGACTGCGTAGTACAACTTTAGTCCGCGGAGTATAGCTGTGGAGCTGGAAGATGGCGACTTAGCAATACAACTTTAGTACGCAGAGTAGCTGGGGAGGGGGATGATGAGAACTGATGAGTGGGTAGTAGGTGAGAACTCGCGACTGTATAGTATAACTTTAGTACGCGGAGTAGCTGGGGAGCGGGAAGATGAGAACTGGCGAGTGGGTAGTACAACTTGAGGGCGTGGAGTATCTGGGGAGCTGGGAGATGAGCACTGGCGACTTTGTAGTACAACTGTAGTACGCGGAGTAGCTGGGGAGCGGGAAGCTCAGAACTGGTGACTTTGTAGTACAACTTTAGTACGCGGAGGAATCTGTGGAGCTGGAAGCTGAGAACTGGCGACTGCGTAGTACAACTTTAGTACGCGGAGTATAGCTGTGGAGCTGGAAGATGAGAAGTGGCGACTTAGCAATACAACTTTAGTACGCAGAGTAGCTGGGGAGCACTATGTCCAACTTCGGTTGTTGCCTTCCTCGCCATGCTGCCTTGTCTCACAAAAAAGGGGTCGGCGGCACCAGGGCGGAGCCCTTACAATATTTATACATAATTACATTCATCTTTGATAACCACATGATAATAATTGATAATCATATCAATCATTCCCTATCCTCCAGCAACCTTTCAGAAGTTTGCAAAGATATCTGCTGCAAATTGAGCTTAACTGACCTGTCTGGCTATGCTGTGCAATCTCAGCAGCTAAAAGGAGGAGGAACAACGCTCCTCCAGACCATCTGAAATTGCCGAAGAGTGCCTTACCAGAAAGCACTGGAACCATGACAGTCGTCTGACATCAAGATGCTTTCTCCTATTAGCTACTTGCTCCTAGTAGTAAGGCCAGGAGCCCCTAGTAGCGTCGTTGCTCCTAGTGGCGATGCCCTTTGCTCCTACTAGCTTCTTGCTCCTAGTAGTAAGGCCCTGGACCTCTGGAACTTTTGCCTCCAAAGTAAAACCATTTACGATATGAAGCCTGAGCAGCAATCTGAAGAAGGAGGACAAAAATGACCAGGTCATAGCGCTGTGCCAAGATGGGCCACTCCATACCAGCCTCAATTCTTGACGAGGCGATTCTTGTTCCATCCCTGAGAGTACCCTTGCCAATCTAAGCATGTCACATGATACGATTTACATGATGGGTGAAATAAGTCCATGCTGTTCTGAAATGGCTTCAGTCAGCTCCAAGAGGCCGAGCTGGCCAAAAAACCGCCAAGAGGCATTCTTCTCACCCCAGCGCTGCAAATCAGTTGCAAAATGGCGCAAGGCTTGAAGTTGATCAGGTCCTCTCGAGCAAAAATGCCGTCTCAGCTGATTGGTTGGTGCCTGGTGTCTTGGTGTCTCAAAAGGCGTCCTTCCAACATACCTGCCGCCAACATAATTCAGCAAGCAGGAAAGGGAGGTTCCATTCAAGGAGCTTGAAACACCTGTCCTCCATGTATTGGGGCTTCCCAAATACACCTCGGCAGCAACGTGCGTGAGCTAGCTTCGCTAGCACCTCTTGAACAACCACTGAAGGCTACTCCTAGTCGCTGCAAGGAAGCATTGTCTCGGATTCAGTGTTCATCGCATCTCACAAAAGAGGCAACCAGTACCAAATACAATGCAAGCTTTCCTTTTCGGCGTCCAATTCTCTGTTCTTTCTTTCCGTCTTGAGGACAAATCACACTTATTTTCTCCAGCGAGACCTCACCTGCAGCATCGGCATCTCAGCAACAAGCATTTTGCCAAGAAGTACCAGCCTCGCATTGAGATACAACACGCAAGTCTCAACAAAAAAACGTTTTGGCTGCTACACCAAATAGTATCCCATCCAAACCCATTGGAAAAACCCCCAAGTTAGTCTGGGGTCTTGCTTTTTGAGCCACATCCACCTCAACAAGCTCTCATGACACACTCGAGGCTTACTACATTTGATTAAGTTGAATAATTAAGTTGAAACAGGACACGATGTGGCAGTCTGTTGCATTTCTCACGTTGACTTCCATCGAACACGCCAAAATTGGCCTAAGACCACTGGCCTGTTGCGAGGGTGCGCTGCCAAAACGCAACACCCACAAACAAAGCTGCAAGCAACCAGAAGGGATTCTCTGAAAGCACATCGCCTGACAAGGAGGCAATGTGAAAACAATATGCTTCCAACACCTTGGACCAAGCCCTTGGTGGGCGCCGGAATGGCTAGGCTGGAAAGATTTGGAACCCCACATTTTGTAGTATAAAATCCCTGGTTGTTCGATGTGGTTCGGTAAAGGGTATTGAATCCATGGTGGTTGGAGGCCGGGAACCACAAAAACGTCGTTTTGTGAACGTCGGAGTGAGAGTTGCCTTAGTAGAAGGAACTTGAGGAACTTGAAGATCTTCAGCCTCTTTTTGTTGAAAGGAAACAAATGGTCATTGATCTCCGAATCAACTCCAGTCTGTAAAAACCAATGAGCATCATGAGCATCATGTGGTGTCGAAAAAAACACTTCTGCCACCAACATTCTGCCTTGAAATCCGGGACAAAACCTCTGTGATCCGTCCATATATATATATATCACAAAGGTTACCTTTGCCGCTATCCATGCACTGCCACACGCCCAGATAGGTGAGACAGTGAGGCACCAAGTCTTTGCACAAACAAAAGTCCCTATGCCACTGTACAGAGCTTATGGAATGATAGTGCACCTACGCTGCAGCACTTGGTGGCTGGAACCGCCAGAGTATTGGCCATGAGTGATTTCAAATACCATGGAGGTGACTTTTGGAAGTCTCTGGAAAATTTGCTCTTTGGGCAAGTGTTCAGAGCGGGAAACAAAGGAAAAGGCACCACAATGGAGCTCTTCAGACCTTTGGTGAGATGAAGCTTGATGGATACATGGATCATATCCATATGTTGAGTATGTCCCATTTCTGGTACGAGTATCACATGGTGCACGAGGGTTGGCTCCTGATTAAGGATGGATACAGTAATATGTGTGCCACTCCGAGGATTGGAAGGACCATACACCTGTGCTATGGCACAAAAATGGCAGCTCTCATGACGCTCGGTCCTTCCTTCCCCAACCGTGGGCGTCAAAGCTCCAAAAGAGGAGGACTAAAATCTATCAACGAAGGACTTGGCACCTTGCTGGGCTGAAGCCATGGCCTCCCCCGGCTGAAGCTGCCCACCCCAATGTGGTCATCTCCCGACCAACCGTGACCTGCCGAACGTGCCGAAAACCCCAAACTTGGATGCCCGACGTTGCACCGCCAGGACCAGCAATCCAACAAAGACGACGAGCTTCAAAACCGTCACCCAGCCCAGGTGTAGAGCCTGCAGAACTTGCGCAGCCTAAACCAAGAAAAACCTGACACATCCCCAAACCCCACACTTCCACTGGGCTTCTTCCTGGCCAACACAACATCAACACATACACGATGCGACTGGTACAATAAGCAAGCGGGTCGAATGCATGATGATATGTATGGAAACATCACACATCATTGAGAATGAAGGTCTATTCCAGGTCGCATTCTTGCTTCAAAGCAGCAGCATGGTGTGCTACCCGAAAGGCAACAGTTATTTTGAGTCCACATAAAACCTGGACTGTGGAACAAACACCTATCCCTCATTGACACATCTGTCCTGATCCGTCGGATGGCTGCTTTCGGTGTGTGTATACATATGTAGTATAATCCTACATAATCCCTATATACATATATACAGTATATATATATATATTATATAAATAAATAAATATATATATATATATATTGCATAAATACGCACACGTGCGGCTGTCAAATGTGGTGTTTCTTTATTCCTTGTCGCTAAGGACCGGGGTCTGTACATAAGAGTTCGCTAAATGTCAATCGCCGGGAATTGATCTTGTAAGCTGATATAGTCACTCTATCTTGGGGTGTGACCGAAATGAAGGTGTATTTTTTTTGATTTGAGGTCACAACCAAGTTGGACATTGAACCAGCTGCAGTCCGTTGCTGTCCATGCCATCTACTGCTCTGACAGTAGCAAGCACAAAGAACAGGTAGACAGAACATGAGTGAGTTGCTTTGAATGGATCAATCCATAAACATGTGCGGAAAGAAGGTTTCGTGAAGATTGACTCTTACACAATGTTGACAATAGTTATGTGTGACTACCACTTTGCCACACAGCTGGGGCTGATGGCAGATGCTGGTGGTGTGGATGATGATTTGAAGTCCCGTTTGGCTGCTGCCTACACTGGGTTGGTGCAGTTAGCTAGCTGTGTCTTTACACATGGAAGTGAAGCAGAGGCTTGGGGGTTGAAAACTATGGAGACTGTGGGAAGCCTGTGTCAGATGATATGGTCATATGGAAGCCTTAAAATGTGGTGTGATGAAAGCAGTGTTTTTAGATAAATATATAAATGCTTTGCTACAGAATCTACAGAATGAGAATGAGTAATAGTCATCTCAGAACTGCCAACTAGTAACACTATTTTACTACATTCGACATTGGGATTGGGAGATGTGCCGAATTTGAGAAAGCACCTAAAGCTGCGCAGGTGAAGATATATGCAGATTTGCTGGACCTTCTGAAGGGGACCAAGGCAGCTGGGTCTTTTCATTGAACATTGGGCACATCACAATAGCTAGATAGGTGAGTTCATCAAAAAACAACACTATGCTGAGCAGTCTAGGGGAATCAACATCAATCAATAGACAGTGAACTTGCAACACTGCAAACCATTTCTTCTATGGAAATCAAGGATAGTGAAACTTAAACAATAGAATGTTGAAAGCGATATATAGGTAGTCGGTAATATGTAGGATGTGATGTGGGTACAACGCTGTTTGATGCAGGAGACAGTCCAGACCAGCCAGCAAAAGGCACTCCAAGGAACTGTGCGTGGTACTGCAGGAAGACCAGCATTTTCTGTCAGCCAAATCTACAACTGGGCAAAAGTGTTCCTTGGTTACATGGGCTGAAGGAGTAGTCATAGTTTACTAGTCAGTAGTGAATGATTGATGGAACATGATTGACCGACAGGAATGACTGATCTGGACAGGATGACAGATAAATAGAACTATATTTAGAACACCAACTGTACACATGACACAAAAGCTAGAACTAGAACTACTTGATATTATATATATAGGTAGTAAATGAAATTCAAATTAAATTGAATTGAAACTTTCATTTGAACAACCAACCTGGGTCGTTGCAGTTTCATAGTATCTAGAAACTAAAGTTTTGGGCCAGTAACTCACACACACACTCAAGCTCAAAACTAAAGTAACTAAAGCCTTATGCAAACTTATATAGCATATAAAAATATCCTTGCCTTGCTATCAGATTATCAGATATCAGTATCACATGTACTATAGCAATATAGCAAGCACTAAGCAGCATCAGCATCCAGGAATCCATGCGGAATCCATAATTGTATGTATTGTAAGTTAGTAAAACATTATCACATGCAATGCAACCCGCCCAGGCGAGCCAATGTGCGTGATGCAAGACGACTACGGGATACCGTGAAGTGTGTTCTGGAAACCATGGTTGGACTGGCGCTTGATGATGAAGTACAGGGGCCAGGGCCATGTGCAGCTACGATGTGCAGGGGCACTGCTAAGCTGGATTTGGGACACTGCCTTCTAAGGCAACTTCAGTGGCAGCAGCGTTGTGATGCAGGGTCTGACTATGCAATTCAACTGAGCTGCTGGACTGTGACATTACCAAGTGCAACTTTTTCAAGTTGTTGGTTGTTTGCAAACGGGGTACTATTGTCCTCAGAAGATATGGCAAGCACATTCACTAGGACATGCATTATGAATTTATGAAATATAAGTAATAAATAAATATGTGCATATATATAACAGTGACACACTGACAGTGACTCACTGACAGGACACTGACACACAGTGACACTGTGGCGCACAGGCACCGCCTTCACCATACCTTACTTGCTACTACTACACCATAGGATATGTATATAATATGTAGGTAAAGGTAAAGTACAGTACCAATTAACATTTACAATTTCATTTCAACCTCTTAATATTGATCTTTGACAAGCAGCAAAAAAACACTGAGGCTTTGATTCCTCACCGATGAAGCTGGAGATGTTCCTGTGCCAAGAGACCAGCATTAGGCAACTTGGCTGAGCTAAGTTAGATAAAGGGTTGGGCTGGAACCCGTTACCTGTTGGTCTTGGAAAAATATTTGAATCTGAGTATGCTTAATATGTTTGGTCCACTGACAAGCCATCAAATAATAAACATAAAGACCAACAGTCATTGCAAAACATAGCATGAGATAGCTGCACAGGTCGGACTTTGCAGTTCAAGACTGGATGAAATGGATGCGGCTGATACGCAACCAGAATGGGATGGCCATTGAAGACACGGATGGCGCAGAGCTAGATGCTTTTGCAGAACGCAGGTCAATGGAGAAGGATGCAAACCCGAATGACTTGTTTGTTCGGGTTCTTCCTCCAATGACACTGGGCAAAGGTTTCTCAGCATGGTTCAATCAAGTTGCTTAGTTTTCTTTGTGGATCCTGTTTCTTTCATTCTTACACTTTGGGGAACAAGCATTCTGAGTCTAAATGTTCTATGAAGTAAGCAAGGTTGCACAGCCTTGCCACACAAAATGATAGCCTTGCTGCACTCAATACAAGCAGAGACGGGGCCAAGAAGTCTTGACTTCTATTGCGAGAATGTGATTGCTTGTATCACTGACCAAGGCAGGGTTTTAGTCCCTATTTTGATCAGTTGTCCAGTGCTGCTGCTGCTGCTGCTAC